GGCCTGAGCTCGCGGCGCACCCTCCCGCCACCTACTCCCAGGTGCCGACCCACCCCCAGGATGGCGGAAGCACACCAGGCCGTAGCCTTCCAGTTCACCGTGACCCCTGACGGGGTCGACTTCCGGCTCAGTCGGGAGGCTCTCAAACACATCTACTTGTCCGGAATCAACTCCTGGAAGAAACGCCTAATTCGCATCAAGGTGGGCTCAGGTGGTCCTGACCTCTCTCCCAGCGGGTGCAGGGCAGAGGCCCCATTATCAGGGTCTCTCCTTGCTTTGCTTCAGCAGCGTGGTGGGTACAAGCCCTAGCAGTGCAAAAACCATGGTGGTGACAGAGGTGTAGTGGGGCACGGTGAGCAATGGGTGCTACAGGTGTGGGTGCCTGAGAAGGAGAATACAGGTGGTTAAGGCAATTCGCGCAGAGAGCCAGGTCCCAGGACTTCACAGGTGCCTGATTACCTCATCTTTCTTCTCCACAAGGATGTCTATTTCTGCCCCACAGAATGGCATCCTTAGGGGTGTGTACCCTGGCAGCCCCACCAGCTGGCTGGTTGTCGTCATGGCAACAATGGGTTCCTCCTATTACAAGGTGGATATCTCCATGGGTCTGGTCTGTTGTATCCAGAGTTGCCTCCCTGAGAGGTAAGAAGCCAAGAAGGCAAAAGTGTCAAGGGCAAACCAGGGTAGCTCCCAAGGCCAGGGTTCCTGAGTTGGGCAGATACAGGACAACAGCCATGGCTGGCCACAGGGACAGTGCTCCCCCAGGGCCACCATCATCTCAGTCCCACATCAGTTTGTATTTGATAAATATACCTTAGTGTGTGTGCCCAGAAAGTTTCTTGCCCCTCTGCGCCTCCTCTGGATAGTTCCAAGTCATCAACTGCATGTCAGAATTCCCAAGACTGGTCTCCCCTGCAGCCTTCCTTCCTTCTCCAACAGGTGTGGCCCCTACCAGACCCCGCAGACCCGGGCACTTCTCAGCATGGCCATCTTCTCCACTGGGGTCTGGGTGACAGGCATCTTCTTATTCCGCCAAACCCTAAAGCTGCTTCTTTCTTACCATGGGTGGATGTTTGAGATGCATGGAAAGACCAGTCACTTCACCAAGATCTGGGCTGTGAGCAGAAGTATTGGCGGGTTCAGGCACTTGGTTTGAGAACCTGCGGGGCTCATTTGGGGTCTGAGAAGGAGGTGAGAGGCAGACTGAGCACTGGTGTCTGGTGCATGGTTTGTCCTGAAGGGGTCAGGATAGTTCTGAAGGCCTCACTTATCTGCTGATTTATGTCTGTTCTTCCACCGGCTCCCACACCAACTCTGTGCTCTGTGTCCCCAGATCTGTGTCCGCCTTCTGTCCAGCCGGCGGCCTATGCTGTACAGCTTCCAGACATCTCTGCCCAAACTTCCTGTCCCCAGCGTACCAGCCACAATTCAGCGGGTGAGGGCCTGGGTCCCAGTGGGCACAGGAGGCTGGATTCAGAAAACTTGCCCAAACATAAAGAACTATTCCCTGTAAATAATGGGCTTGAGAGTAATGGGGCCAGGGTGAGGAGAGAGAGGTGGGAAGAGAGTTAAGGCAGAGGTAGCCATCACCGTCTGGCTCCCATGTAATGATAACTTGGCTGAACAGTACTTGGAGTCTGTACGGCCCTTGTTGGATGATGAGGAATATTACCGCATGGAGACACTGGCCAAGGAATTCCAGAACAAGACTGCCCCCAGGCTGCAGAAATACCTGGTGCTCAAGTCATGGTGGGCAACGAACTATGTAAGTTTGCTGTCCTGGGCTTGTCCTCACCCATAGGTCTGACTGCCCCTTCCCCTGCTCTAACCTCCATCCACCAACAGGTGAGTGACTGGTGGGAAGAGTACATCTACCTTCGAGGCAGGAGTCCCCTCATGGTGAACAGCAACTACTATGTCATGGTAAGAACTAGAGCCCCCTGGCTCTGGGGCCGGGATTTAGGACAGCCCAAAGACTTAATGGAAGTTCCTGTGGGTGAGTGGGGGTGGTAGAGTGAGATCTGAGAGAGAGGGAGGAGAGAGGGGAGAGCCTGGAGGAAGAGTCATGAGGCAGTATAGGGGAAGTGGCCATTCCAGGACAAGGAGAATCCTGAGACCCTGTAGCCTGTCACTGCCTCGTGGGGTCTCTTGGGCTCAGAGACCGCCTTCTGTCCAGCCTGCCTGACTCAGACTTTGTCATGGCCTTTCTTGTTCCCTCACTAGCTTCCCAACCACAGGTTCCGTAGACACTTTCTAGGGGACTTCCTAAGCCCACCTTGCTTTGTCATTCTGTGGAGCCATGTGATGAGAACCAGGCTTCACTTCTTAGGGCTCAGGAACTCACTGTCTATCTCAGTCCACCTGACTGGCACTTGTCCTGACTCCGCTAGTGCACAGCCAGCTGGCCTCTCTGCTCTCTCCTTTCCCACTGTCCAGAGTGCACAGGACAGGGCAGCCTATTGGAACTCCCCTCCTCCACAAACTGTCTTTCCAGAAACTTACACTCAACCTGTCCAAACCAGAGGTTTTAAGCTGCTCTTTGGTGGTAGAACCCCTTCTTCAAAGCAAAACATGAACAAATAAAATAGCAACAGATGAAAAATGCAGCTCTGGTTGAAGCTGGGTAGCTGGAGCAGGGTAGTGTCAGTTGCACGTTGGCCTGAGAGCACCTCATGCCCTGGATAAGTTGGTCCTTGGTGGGGTGAGACCCAGGTGATCCAGACAGAGGCCCCCACCCTGCAGGCTCTGCTCTGTCTGTAGGACCTTGTGCTGGTCAGGAACACAGAAGTACAGGCAGCCCGCCTGGGAAATGCCGTCCATGCCATGATCATGTATCGCCGCAAACTGGACCGTGAAGAAATCAAGCCTGTGAGTTACATCAGGATTGAGAATGGGGTGGGAAGGGGAGGCCTGAATCTGAGCCATCCTGGGTCTTCCTTCCCAGGTGATGGCACTGGGCATAGTGCCCATGTGCTCCTACCAGATGGAGAGGATGTTCAACACCACCCGCATCCCGGGCAAGGAAACAGGTACTAGGCCACAGCCAAGCACCACTGGCCCATCATGGCTAGGTGCCCTACTGCCTGCTCACCAACCAGAATCTCCAGTGTCTCAGGATCATGAACCTGTGAAAAGTGGTCAATTTGTGACGGATACCAGACATGTGTCATTTGCAGGCATGATCCTGGTGCTGGGACCCCAAGGGGCCCAGAACAGAGCTTCTCCCCTCCAGGGCTTCACTGTGCATGGGAAGGTGGTCGTGTGAGTAAATAGCAGTGGAGCTGAGAAGCACAGATACCCTCCCAGAGTCCGTAGAGGAGGAGAGAGCAGCAGGTTTGGCAGAGGCAGTGGCCTTCCCTGTTTCTGACACTGTCTCCTGGGGCTCTCTGTGTAATTTCCTAGCTCGTGGGCTCTTCCTTCTATGGAAGATCTCACAGGATGGTGGTGAGGTAGTACAGGGCCTGGCTTAGCATGGAGATCCACCCCAAGGGGAAGGAAGGCCCAGGATAGAGCTGGGCAAAGCAGGGTCTTCCAGGGCCACCTAGAAAGGGCTCACCTGGGGAGAAGTCTCCCCCAGGACCTGCCTCAGCCTGCCCACTGGCCTCTGTCACAGATGTGCTGCAGCACCTCTCCGACAGCAGGCACGTGGCCGTCTACCATAAGGGCCGCTTCTTCAAGGTGTGGCTCTATGAGGGCTCCCGCCTGCTCAAGCCTCGGGACTTGGAAATGCAATTCCAGAAGATCCTGGATGACCCCTCTCCACCCCAGCCTGGGGAGGAGAGACTGGCAGCCCTCACTGCAGGGGGAAGGTATCTAGGCCTGTGGGGAGGGTTTGCCTTGGCCTAGGTTCAAGGCCTCATGAGGAAAGAACTTGGACCTGTCTGCCACCCTGGCATTGGGGGTGTGTAGGACCACACAGTGAGGGCCCTGGAGACGTCAGCAGTGGAGGGCGGGACCAGAGGCTC